AAGTCTGATGAGGAAATGCGGTGATTTCCGAGATAGCTATCACTTCTGCCATTTTTTCAAATTATTGTTGCTTTTCCACAATAAGTTTTCACTTAAAACGGCCTCAAGCTCATTCAAATTTTTGAATATAATTGTTATAAGGCCATAAAATAACAAAAAACACATAAAATATTTTATACTAATACCACGTTTCTAAATATATGTTTTTAAGATGTTTGCTATCAAATTATACACTGCTTAATTCATTATAACATTGAAAGATTTTTTCAACACGGCTGCAGCTCAGCGTTGAATTCTAAATACTATCGGCGCAACTAACTCTATTTATTGCAATTTCATTTGTTTACATTTATCAGCTGTTCATTTGGCAGCATATTCATCAAGCCGTTTCTAATACGTAATTGTTGGGTCCAACAGTTGCCAACAGTTCGTAGCAGTTGAGCTAAACATCTACGTCTTATAAACGCGCCCAATAACTTCATTTAATTTTATTCATTGTATGATATTTAGTTTATTCATTAATTTTTGGGTAACATCACCTTATATGAATTCGCCCTAGCATCCTTAGGACCGGGTTGTTATGGAAGTAACTAAATGGAGTGAACTGTCACATAATTATCTATTGTGTGTTTACCAAATAAATGCAAATGTTTATAATGCAATCAATAAATACTTACGAATTCGCCTCGATTTGTTACGATTCTCAACATGCAATATAACCAAGGCACTAAGTAACGTACGCACTTTTGTTTGCAAAATGCATTTATTTAATTTGAAAGAAGACAAATTCCTTTGCTCGGCATTTCTTCGTACTCGCTTTCTATCTTCCAAGGCTAATTCATATATTCTTATCACGAATTCATATATTCATGTAGTAGCAAGAGTATAAAAACATAAAATTATCTTATAAATTATACGCACAATTATTACGTTTATGCGTAGTCCAAATCCCGAAATCATTTCATGGATCTGAGTAAAAAGTCAGTTTATAAACTCCGTTTCGCGTATAACTGGAATCATGAAATGGTGTTCATGCACTCATGACAGAATGAATTACAACAAACACTTCATTTTGACATAGTGGAAGCCCTAAACGTTGCGACCGTTGGTTCAGATCAATCCGCAATCAAGTAGGACATTTTGCCCACAAACATTGCAATTTTGCGACCAGACTCATTGTGAATTCTCATTTTTACAATTTCATAGTTTCGGCTAACATTTATAAAATTCATCGAAAGCACGTAAAAATTTCGGCTGAGTTATCCATTTTGGGTTAAACGCAAAATAGAATGAGTTTGTACATTAATGTAGCGACGAGTTGTACAACTTGCCAGAAAATCAAAATTTTTTTGATCTCTCATACAAACGAAAAACTACTCCCGTAACACTACCTGTTATGAGTTGGCCTGGCTATCATCCTCACATATGTTCATCAGAGTATATCAACGAAACACGAATTCATACAAGGTGATAGCGGGAGCACAAAAACTGAACAAATGTACAACAAACACATAATTCTTGACAATTAGTACAATTCGCATTGATATCAACGAGTAGCTTTGCTGGCTCTAATTAGATTGGTTTCGTTTGTACTACATATGTGCATATATATGTACATGTACACAAACATATCGTCGTTTAAAGTGCAAAACCGCGTATCAACAAAATGCAAAGCCGCGTATCAGTAAAATGCAAAACCACGTATGTGAAGTTGTAGAAATTATTTTCTAGAGCGTAAAAACACTAATATTTCCAAATGGTTCTTTTTTATAAAGCGATCGCATTTCTGGCTAGTATATTTCAAGACGAGTGGATAAGGATTGAGCCAAGAGCTTGTGTGAGCAAATCCAATTTTTGGCAGCCAATGTCAGTTACGCGGTTTTGCAGAATGGCGATATGCGGTTTTGTACTTTAAACGACGATATGTACATACACACAAATATATGTACATACTAGGGATGTTGCGAAAGTGGAATTTCAGACATCCGCGGATGCGGATGCGAATGCGGATGTCATGTATTTTTATTCCGCTGCGTGCAAATTTTGAGAATCATTATCACAAAATTAAAATAAATGTTATTGTATTCCCGCGCACAGAGGAGTATTTGCATAGTAAACCCGGTCAAAATTATTTGGTGTCTTTTTCTGCTAGGTTAGGTTAGGTTAACCTGGCTGCCCTCATCCATACATGAAAAGGGCACACTTAGGCCTCCATGGGCCCATTGTGATACCATATTTGAGACTCCTAGCGTCCCTCCTCCTACCTCAGAAATTGAACCAATTTGTAGCTCTGATGAAGCGCACAAAATCGTAGATACTGGCGGAGTCCAGTTCAGCCAGACACTCGAAAGAACAGCGAAGGAGCGAGCGTCGACGAGCTCTTGCCAAAGCGGGACAGTGGCACAGGTAATGCTCCACGCTCTCGATTTCCTCCTCATCGCGGCAGCTACGACAGTAATCGTTTGGCTGCAAACCCATCCTGGCAGCGTGGGTTCCCATAAGGCAGTGCCCGGTGAAAATTCCAATAACATGGCGGAGTATTGGTCGCCCCAAACGGAAGAGAGGGCGAGATCTACGCTTATCTAACCTAGGCCAGATGTGTCTCGCTATCCTGCACGTGGGCTCCACGGACCATCTTACATTTGCCTGTTCCAT